TTTCCACTGTATGACTTTAGCACTGGGCTGCAATGGCTTAATAATGAGCTGCCTTCCTGATGTGTACAGAATTCTGTCTGAGTCAGGGCCCCAAGCAACAGAATACACTGGGGAACCTTGGCTAGCAAGTGTAGATCGCAGCATTCCACTCTTGGACCAAATCTTGATTTGGCCATCCTCCCCAGCTGTAATTAGAGCACTACCATCACAGTTCCATCTTCCAGATAGCACAGCTCCATTGTGTGCATCTACACTCTTTTCAATGAGCCCACTTTTAGAAACTAAGTGGAATTTTCCATCGGTACTAGTAAGAACGAANCTGTAAACATAGCACTGGAGTGAGGTGGCAACAACAAGATGCCCAAATGCCAGTGAGGCTTTTATGACCCGATCCCTGAACTCTAACACATCCACTGCCTCATCGATCACATTTAGCACCTGCATGGTTCTTCTCTTGGTGAGGGTGATCACAAAATTCTTCCACTCCCAGTGCTGCTCCACAATGTGAGCAAAGATGACATGTCCATTACCACAGGAACCAGCAATTTGGGTGCCATCTGCAGACCAGGCCAGGCTAAACACACTTCCAGTGTTGGGCTTCTCCAAGGCATAGGACCATCCAGTTTTATCACAAAGTCGTAGTGTGTTGAAGGAGCCCATGGCAAACACCTCTCCATCGGGAGCCCAGGACAAAGAGGTGACTGGGTAATCATGGGGAGATGATGTGTAAAGCAACCGACCAAAGCTGTCCCACACCTTATATTTACAATCTTCCCCCCCTGATATTATCAAGTCATTGACTGAATTCCAATCAACTTTTAAAATAAGGCCATCATGAGCTTTCCACTGTATGACTTTAGCACTGGGCTGCAATGGCTTAATAATGAGCTGCCTTCCTGATGTGTACAGAATTCTGTCTGAGTCAGGGCCCCAAGCAACAGAATACACTGGGGAACCTTGGCTAGCAAGTGTAGATCGCAGCATTCCACTCTTGGACCAAATCTTGATTTGGCCATCCTCCCCAGCTGTAATTAGAGCACTACCATCACAGTTCCATCTTCCAGATAGCACAGCTCCATTGTGTGCATCTACACTCTTTTCAATGAGCCCACTTTTAGAAACTAAGTGGAATTTTCCATCGGTACTAGTAAGAACGAATATGTCAGCTTGGTTCTGTTTCTTGGAGCCCAGAGTTTTAGGAAACCAGTGGAGTTCAATCGGATAAAAGTCATCTGGAAGCTTGGCAACCAAACTAGTTTCACTAGTTAGCAGGTTCCACTTCAGAATCTGGTGATCTTCACTGCAGGAGTACACTTCATCTGCTGAAGTCCAGCCAACACAACTCACAAGTTCTTTATGTTTTGGCTCCTTTAACAGTGATGTTTTTAGTCTCATGTTGAATACTGATGGATCCTTCAGTAATCACAGAATCAGTGGTTGGCATGCTCATGTGCTGAAAGATGAAATAAAAAGCGTCCTCAGTTGCTACGGTACCTTATCGGTTGCTAATGCAAAACTTTAGGTGTCCCTTATTCTGACTCACCCATATAAACTCTGGTCAACATTATGGCTTTGAATCAAAGCGGTTCTGGCCTTTAGGCCTTTATGCCTTTATTTTGTTTTCATTTTTAAAAATAATTCTGTCGCCATGGTGACAAGCAAGTGACTCCACCAGACCAAGTTGCATGCCAGATTGTAGAGATGCGAGCCACTCACAATACTGACATCTGTTTCACTTTAGATATAGCTGTATTATTTATCCTATAGTTCAAGCTTCACTGTGTAACTTTTCCAGTAGTGGGTCTGACATTAGCTTCAGTCACATTATTGTTTTGCCTGGAAGAATGCACCTGGTTCTTTTCCCAAGAAACAGTGCGGGTCTAGACCCAATCCTGAAAACCTGAAACAGAATTCCGACAGTTGGTTTAACTCCAAATTTGTTTTCGATGTGGTAACAACATATAACATTATAACATGGCTTAAAGCTCACAAGAATCCATTTTGTGTGATATAGGACTGTTATCCTATCACTCTCCATTTAGACAAGCAGGTGATAAGTAAAGTAAATGCACCTACACTCTTGTCCAGACTCAGAACTGTTCAAATGCAGTTTCATGCGGCAGTTTATGCCTGTATCCTGTTTATTTGTGTTTCAGAGGAGTTCAAGAGGGAGGGAGATACAGTTAAGTTGAAACTGGTCTGATTGAGTTGTGACACGGGTGGACTTAAAGTGTTTAAAGAGGAGACAGATGGAGAATTGGACAGTTTAGGACACTGTTAGGACACCCGTGTCACAACTCAATCAGACCAGTTTCAACTTAACTGTATCTCCCTCCCTCTTGAACCCCTCAAACCCCTGCTCTGTCCTGTCTCACGCACAAGTCTCAGAGACAGAGACAGAGCAGGGGTTTGAGGGAATCATACATTATATTACACTGTTAACCACGTGTGACCAGTGAAGAATGAGAATTTAATTAAGATAAATAGGAAACTGAAATATTAGAAATCAGGGCTTGACTTAAACACCAGCCAAGACTACTTCAAAATTCAATTACTGTATATTTCAGACTTTAAGTCACACTTTTTTTTCATGGTCTGGGTGGTCCTGCAACTTATATATAAAAATGTATATTAAAATGTTCAGACTGACAGCCGCGAGAGGGCGCTCTAGGCTTGTGTGTCAGTACTACTATTACTCCTGTACCACTGTCACTTTGCACTCTACTGCGCATGCCTCCTGTCGTAAAATCTATGGTTTATCTCCGGAGGTCACGCAGAAGTGACACAGAGGATGAAGAATTCAATGGATTTAGTGATTTGGAGTGAGATGGAGAGTTTGGTAAACTTATGTTCTGTTGTTTATGCTATAGTTATCTGAAGAACTGTTCATATGTGACGTTAACATATTAACGTCTATTCAGCCTGTTGTTCTCTGTTCTATTGTTATTACTAGAACTTAACCTTTCAAGAAGAAATGTCGGCCTCTGATTTTATAAAATGCATTTCCCCAAAAAGTGCGACTTATAGTCGGAAAAATATGGTACAATATTTTGATTTTGCAAAGATGCAGCTGTAACCGAAACATGTCAGGATTTATTCATCTTACTCACAAATTCAAATGAAACTATTAAATTATGAACTAAAACGCTATTGTGGCCTGTAAGTATAAGAGTTTAGAATAAAGGTGCACTGTGTAACTTTTCTGGTAGAGCGTCCACCGCCTGCCATCCACTTTTCTCCATGGATATGTTATTGTGTTTTCCAGGTATTTTCCACAGTATGGCATTTAATGTAACTCTCCATGGCAGTCACATAACCAGGTCAAGTTACAGGTCAGATCTGTGGAGAAGCGGGCCCGCTCACAGCAAGAATGCACGGTTTTGTGGTAGTTTTGAGAAATAAAAACTCCTGTAATGGGATAAATGCAGATAGATTTGTTTAATGCCATACTGTGCAGCGTCCCAGGCAAAGCAATGGAGACAAGCAGGTGGCCCTCTACCACAAAAGTTACACAGTGCCCCAAGAAAATAGATTGCATCAAGTTGAATACAATATTTAGTTTGAAGAAATTCTCATTATTTCCTGGTCACATCTTTTATTGTTTCTTGTTATGGACCTGTACAACATTGACTTCAGTTAGAAATGCGTTGCTGTAGCATTTCATAGAGTGTGCATGTGTCTATTGCCTGTACATATTGTGAGTTTGTGTGCGTGTGTGTATGACTGGACACTGGAAATATATCGTGCTCTTGTAAATAGTGGAAGTAATATCAGATCTAATATACTGTATATCAGAGTGTTACAATCAATGAGTATTTATGGATCTAAATTTATTGATGCCGGAAAGTTCTCCAGAAAGCGACAGTTTCGGGTTTCATGTTTAAAACTGTGGTCATGTGACACGGGCTTTGGTGTGATTGGCTGCGGAGGATCATGTGACCAGTGGTGTCTTGATTTCCTCTTTGGTTTGTTGTCGTTTTTGGGGTGTTGTTGCTTCATGGACAGAGGCAGATGTGTGTTACTGTATGATGTGTAGCTACAGAACTGGGTCAATAAAATGGAAATTCAACATAACATGAGTGCTTTTCTATTTACTCTAAAGGTGTTCTATGTAACTTTTTCTCTCCATGGAGATGATAGCTCCATGACATCACTGTGGCAATATGGCATTCAGTTACCTAACATTTAATAATTATATTTATTGCTTTCAGAATGTCACAGATCTGACCTGTAATTTGGCTTTATTACCCACTTGTCACCATGGAAACAGGAAACAAGCCATACAGTGGAACATTCTAGGCAAACCAATAACATCTCCATGGAGACCGTCAAGTGATGCACCCTCCTCCAGAAAAGTTTCACCTAAATAATTTGACAAAGTGCATGTCCAAGTACAAGGTGCATGTATTTTGGATAGTTTTCCCACCAACATGTGTATTAGTGAGTTCAAACTTTTCATCATTTGCATGTTGAAAAATCCTTCAAACGGTCCCTACGAACTGGTCTGGCCCCTTAGAAATAAATATAATGATTATTAACATTACAATTTGTCAAACTACATCTAAAATATAGGGCTCAATAAATGATCAATGCAAACGGATTTAGAGCATGGATGGTTTAGAGATCATGTAAGGTGTTGCCACAAGAGGGCGCCTTTTGCAAACAGCAGCTTTGAAATTTGAACTGTTAAACTACCAAAACACGTGTTAGAGGTGGTGCGTAAAGGTAGGTAATCTAGATGAAGTGTGGGTTGTGTGAATTAAAATTAAATGTACAGGCTGATGTGAGTGAATATTCTTAAACAAACTTGACAAATTGCATTACAAGATGAAATCAGGTCCAAGTTACACAGTCAAGTAGTACTATAAGCAGACAAGCAGCAACAAGTACAGTAGTTTGATGCTGGCTACTTTTACTTGTTTACACTGAGATTGGAAGTAAATTTAAACCAAGAAATGTTACAGATCAGGTCTGTGGAAGGGCCACCCCTGCTGACAGTAAAAAAAATTGACCAATGAAAATATGATTGAATATAGTAATGTAGTAATTGAATAAATAAAATACATTTAATGCCATACTCTAAAATATTCACATAAACCCAGCTACAAGAAAAGTGACGTAGCACATTTTTATGAACGGTCACGGCCCCCATCAATACGAAGATCATGCGGGGGCCCCAAATAATAATTGAAACTATTTAACTGAATATGTATTTTTATGTTTTTCCTCTTACATTTACATGTTAAACAATATAGAATTATGGCTGTAGGCATAATACTACTATAAAGCATGCTTGTCTTGTAAATGGCCTTTGGGGGGGCCCTGGGGGCCTCAGAGGCATTGCTGGGGGCCCCAAAGGTTGTTCACAAAACCCACTGTGGGAAGCACAGGTCTAATCTAAAATACAGACAAAATCTAAAAGACAGACGCAAGTTTCTATTGTTGAACGAAAGATAAGACAGAATTTTGTTTTTTATTTTTTTATTTTTTTATGACATGTGTGTATATATGTTATATACATAAATATATATACAGTTAGTTTAGTTACAGTTTAGTTTAGGTAAAATCCACCGCCTTCTGGTTCATCACCAAAACAAAAAAAGTGAAATCCGGCCCTGGAGCTTTTCTTCTTTTTTCGTCGTTTGTTGCCTGCTCCTGGTGGTCTTGTGATGACCTCGTCCGGTTCGTCTGGTATTTCACCATAGAACCGATCACTTTGTTTGGTGTTTTCAGGGTCAGTTTTTTGTGCTTCCTCTTGGACCACCCTGGGACCGGTGTTGTGAGACTCCTGATGGATCAGGAGAGCTTGCAATCTTAAAGTTTGTTTGCTGCTCCTGCCACAATTTTGAGTTTCTACAGTCTCTACAGTGAAACTTGAACAGCCTCCATCTTTGCTGGGCTTTGGGGCTGGTTTCACTTCACCAGGTTTCGCTGGAGTATTGCGGTCACCTGCCGTTCTTGGAAGGCGTCTCGGTAGTCTCTGTTCTTTGGGTGGGCTCTGAAGATACACTTGAGTTTCTGGTGGAGGTTTCCACCAGTTTTGACTGTCATATGTAACTTCAGTAGCCTGTCTGGAGGGACTGTCTTGCTGTGATTTTGCAGTTGTCTTAAAGCAGGGATTTTCTGTTGGTATAGGAGCAAGCACAAACTCGGGCTTTGCTTTCTCTTGTGAAGCTTGTGTTGCTTCAGTTTGTGCTTTGTGGTGTTTTGGACCCTCCCTATCAGGTCGGGGTCCATTGCCTCTCCTTCCACCGCTCTTTCCCCAGTTGTTAGCAGCTTGAGAGCTCTCCCTGTTGATTTCATTACCAGTGGCTCTGCCATGATTGGGTGTTGTCTCTGCCCTCTGTCTCCTTTCTCCTCTTGGTACATACTTTTGACTTGCTTCAAACATCTCTGATCCATTGCCCTGATGCCAGATTTTCTTGGGCCTTTGGTTGGTTGAAGCTCCCCTGGGAGCTTGAGATGCCTTGGTTTTAGTTGTCTGAAGGTCGTCCACCATTGTTTCACAACAATGGCCTGAAGCAGCTTCAGCAAGTGGTTTGTGTGTCTGGTTCTCACTAATCGCCATACGACTAGGTGTTTTGTTGTTCTTTCTTCCCATAATGTTATTAGTATCAATAATCTTAATAATAACTAACAAGTATGTTTGCAGTTGGAGACTTCTACTTCTCTGTGTCTGTCTACAAGTGTGTCAACGACCGACTGTTTCTGACTCACCCATATAAACTCTGGTCAACATTATGGCTTTGAATCAAAGCGGTTCTGGCCTTTAGGCCTTTGTGCCTTTATTTTGTTTTCATTTAAAAAAATAATAATTCTGTCGCCATGGTGACAAGCAAGTGACTCCACCAGACCAAGTTGCATGCCAGATTGTAGAGATGCGAGCCACTCACAATACTGACATCTGTTTCACTTTAGATATAGCTGTATTATTTATCCTATAGTTCAAGCTTCACTGTGTAACTTTTCCAGTAGTGGGTCTGACATTAGCTTCAGTCACATTATTGTTTTGCCTGGAAGAATGCACCTGGTTCTTTTCCCAAGAAACAGTGCGGGTCTAGACCCAATCCTGAAAACCTGAAACAGAATTCCGACAGTTGGTTTAACTCCAAATTTGTTTTCGATGTGGTAACAACATTATAACATGGCTTAAAGCTCACAAGAATCCATTTTGTGTGATATAGGACTGTTATCCTATCACTCTCCATTTAGACAAGCAGGTGATAAGTAAAGTAAATGCACCTACACTCTTGTCCAGACTCAGAACTGTTCAAATGCAGTTTCATGCGGCAGTTTATGCCTGTATCCTGTTTATTTGTGTTTCAGAGGAGTTCAAGAGGGAGGGAGATACAGTTAAGTTGAAACTGGTCTGATTGAGTTGTGACACGGGTGGACTTAAAGTGTTTAAAGAGGAGACAGATGGAGAATTGGACAGTTTAGGACACTGTTAGGACACCCGTGTCACAACTCAATCAGACCAGTTTCAACTTAACTGTATCTCCCTCCCTCTTGAACCCCTCAAACCCCTGCTCTGTCCTGTCTCACGCACAAGTCTCAGAGACAGAGACAGAGCAGGGGTTTGAGGGAATCATACATTATATTACACTGTTAACCACGTGTGACCAGTGAAGAATGAGAATTTAATTAAGATAAATAGGAAACTGAAATATTAGAAATCAGGGCTTGACTTAAACACCAGCCAAGACTACTTCAAAATTCAATTACTGTATATTTCAGACTTTAAGTCACACTTTTTTTTCATGGTCTGGGTGGTCCTGCAACTTATATATAAAAATGTATATATTAAAATGTTCAGACTGACAGCCGCGAGAGGGCGCTCTAGGCTTGTGTGTCAGTACTACTATTACTCCTGTACCACTGTCACTTTGCACTCTACTGCGCATGCCTCCTGTCGTAAAATCTATGGTTTATCTCCGGAGGTCACGCAGAAGTGACACAGAGGATGAAGAATTCAATGGATTTAGTGATTTGGAGTGAGATGGAGAGTTTGGTAAACTTATGTTCTGTTGTTTATGCTATAGTTATCTGAAGAACTGTTCATATGTGACGTTAACATATTAACGTCTATTCAGCCTGTTGTTCTCTGTTCTATTGTTATTACTAGAACTTAACCTTTCAAGAAGAAATGTCGGTTCCTGGTCTCTGATTTTATAAAATGCATTTCCCCAAAAAGTGCGACTTATAGTCGGAAAAATATGGTACAATATTTTGATTTTGCAAAGATGCAGCTGTAACCGAAACATGTCAGGATTTATTCATCTTACTCACAAATTCAAATGAAACTATTAAATTATGAACTAAAACGCTATTGTGGCCTGTAAGTATAAGAGTTTAGAATAAAGGTGCACTGTGTAACTTTTCTGGTAGAGCGTCCACCGCCTGCCATCCACTTTTCTCCATGGATATGTTATTGTGTTTTCCAGGTATTTTCCACAGTATGGCATTTAATGTAACTCTCCATGGCAGTCACATAACCAGGTCAAGTTACAGGTCAGATCTGTGGAGAAGCGGGCCCGCTCACAGCAAGAATGCACGGTTTTGTGGTAGTTTTGAGAAATAAAAACTCCTGTAATGGGATAAATGCAGATAGATTTGTTTAATGCCATACTGTGCAGCGTCCCAGGCAAAGCAATGGAGACAAGCAGGTGGCCCTCTACCACAAAAGTTACACAGTGCCCCAAGAAAATAGATTGCATCAAGTTGAATACAATATTTAGTTTGAAGAAATTCTCATTATTTCCTGGTCACATCTTTTATTGTTTCTTGTTATGGACCTGTACAACATTGACTTCAGTTAGAAATGCGTTGCTGTAGCATTTCATAGAGTGTGCATGTGTCTATTGCCTGTACATATTGTGAGTTTGTGTGCGTGTGTGTATGACTGGACACTGGAAATATATCGTGCTCTTGTAAATAGTGGAAGTAATATCAGATCTAATATACTGTATATCAGAGTGTTACAATCAATGAGTATTTATGGATCTAAATTTATTGATGCCGGAAAGTTCTCCAGAAAGCGACAGTTTCGGGTTTCATGTTTAAAACTGTGGTCATGTGACACGGGCTTTGGTGTGATTGGCTGCGGAGGATCATGTGACCAGTGGTGTCTTGATTTCCTCTTTGGTTTGTTGTCGTTTTTGGGGTGTTGTTGCTTCATGGACAGAGGCAGATGTGTGTTACTGTATGATGTGTAGCTACAGAACTGGGTCAATAAAATGGAAATTCAACATAACATGAGTGCTTTTCTATTTACTCTAAAGGTGTTCTATGTAACTTTTTCTCTCCATGGAGATGATAGCTCCATGACATCACTGTGGCATTCAATTATCTAACATTTAATAATTATATTTACTGCTTTCAGAATGTCACAGATCTGTGACATTCAAAAAGTGCATGTCCAAGTACAAGGTGCATGTATTTTGGATAGTTTTCCCACCAACATGTGTAGTAGTGAGTTAAAACTTTTCATCATTTGCATGGTGAAAAATCCTTCAAACGGTCCCTACGAACTCATCTGGCCCCTTAGAAATAAATATAATGATTATTAACATTACAATTTTGCACTACAATTTGTCAAACTACATCTAAAATATAGGGCTCAATAAATGATCAATGCAAACGGATTTAGAGCATGGATGGTTTAGAGATCATGTAAGGTGTTGCCACAAGAGGGCGCCTTTTGCAGACAGCTGCTTCACAATTTTAACTGTTTCAAATTACCAAAACATGTGTTAGAGGTGGTGCGTAAAGATAAGTAATTGATATAATGTGTGGGTGGTGTGAATTAGAATTAAATGTACAGTACAATGATGTGAGTGAATATTCTTAAACAAACTTGAGAAATTGCATTACAAGATGAAATCAGGTCCAAGTTACACAGTCAAGTAGTACTATAAGCAGACAAGCAGTAGAGAGTGGGATTCAAACTGCCAACCTTCTGATCAGTCAGTGGACAAACGCTCTTACCAACTGAGCTACTATCGCCCAACATAAGCCATTTTGTTATTATATTATATTGTGATGTGTGAGCTCCTGTGTCCAAGTAATTTCCCTTATGGATCAATAAAGTTTGTCTAAGTCTAAGTTAATCACAAGCACATTTTTAAGTTTGATTAGTTACAAATATGACTCAGGTCTTCAACGAAACAACAAGGAAATACTGCACCCTCTGCTGTGTCAGGTGTAACAAACACGTGAGGTCAAAGCATTCATTCCTACCAACTTAATGAAAATCTGACAGACCAGAAAAAAACAATCTGGAAATGCACAGAGAGACACATAGAACAGTTTTTAGTTTTAGAAAATCACTTCGTCAACATCACAGAGTCAAACACATACATTTTACATGAGGAATAACTTTTGAAGTGAAAGAAAGTTCAGATTAAGTTAATTAAAATAGTGACTGGTGTAAAACAATGGATGAGTGTTGTTTTCCAATAATAGTTTGAACAGTAATGTAACTAAAACTGCATTTAATAAACATTTTTGTCTTTGTTTTTGAATAGAACATAATTTTCAACAGAAAATAACAGCTGATTCTTTAATATTATGGTCTACACTAGCACCAATATACACCAACTCAATTGTTTTCCCCATTACAACTGTTTTTTAACAGTATTGATACAAATTCAAATGAGCAAGTTTTAGAATCGATTTGGTCTCTTGTCCAGTCTCTGATCTGGACTCAGAGTGAGCTAGAGTGTGTAATAAATATGTAGAGACTAGAGAATTCAGTATGTGTTGTAGTTATAGTAATAGAGTTTAGTGGTTTTGGTCTTGATTTAGTCTTAATTTAGTCCTGGTTTAGCACTCATTTAATCCTGGGTTAGTCCTGGGTTAGTCCTAGTTAATGTTGGGTTTAGTTTTGGTTAAGTCTTGTTTACTTCTAGTTTAGCCTTGTTTTGCACTGGGTCTAGTCACATGGTTTAGTCCTTTTTTGATTAGACTAGAGAATACATAAATTTAGCAGTAGCAGTATTAATAGTAGTAGTACTAGTAGTATTATTATTTCTAATATAGACCAAGAGCATTCTATTCATTTTTGAAAATGTTTTTTGTTGTTGTTGTTGTTTTGTTTTAGTTTTGTTTTTTTCAGTTTTTCTATTTTTTAGTATTGATTCTTGTTCATGTGAGTCTAGTTTTGAGTTTTGAGATATATATATATATATATATATATATATATATATATATATATATATATATATATATATATATATATATATATATATATATATATATATATATAATTTAATATCTTTTATCTATTCTGATGAAAAGACTTTTATCTAATTAGTTACAAATAAAAGTCACAAATTTGATCACAAACTGCGGAGAACAAAGCTTCTATTTGAGTTTAGGGAAATGTGCAGTGTCTCCAGGACAACAATCAGGAAACCTTATTCCAGCATATAGAGGCTGAGTGAAACTGGTCTGGACTCTGTGGAGGAGTCTCGTGGTACTTTCAGAGACGCTATAAAATGCCAAAACCCCTGCACTGTGGTCCAGGTAAACTCCGATTCTGGACCCGACTGGACCTGAGACCTGGGACTGGACTTTATTAAACCTAAAGGAACAACTGGTTTTGTCACAGTCTAAAGCCCAGGATATATCATTGAATCCAAATACACATCCCTTATAGTCTTTCCTTTGAACCTCTCTGTATGAAACTGCTATACGAACACCCTCCCCACCCCACTCCACCTCCCAGTAACAGCGCCCTGTCAGACTCTCTCTGCTCAGGACCTGACACACACTGAATCTGTCTGGATGATCTGGATAACTCTTGCATACACTCATAAATGTTACTCTTGTGTTTCCATCCAACAAACACAGCCATGGGTTAACCGTCTTTGGGTCCAGAGTGATTTCTGTAGAATATTGTAAGAAGTCGTCTCTGGACCTGGGTTCAGTTGGTGCCAGTAAAACCTGGACTGGACTCAAAGTGAGCTGGAGTGTGTCTCTGAGCTTGGACACAGCTCTGGTCACTTCCTCAAAGTAGCTCCTGTCCCCTGTGTGAATGGTGTCTGGCTCTGTGCTCTGTGTGTGTGGGGACAGTGAAGTGTAGATTTGTATAAACTGGTTATGATCCTGGGTGAGGGCCAGTGTGTCCAGCTCAGAGAGGCCCCTCTTCAGCTCACTCACGTCCTGCTGCCGTTGGTCCTGGAGCTCTTGGACTCGGCTCAGTTGGGTCTTCTCCTGGGAGCGGATCTGCTGCTCCACTTCCGAGCGTCTTTTCTCCAGGAGAAGGGCCATCTGTGTGAAGCTGTCCCCGCTGTGCTGCACTGCTGTCTGGGCAGAGCGTCTGATGTCCTGGGCCTCCTGTTGGAGCCTCTTCAAGTCTGTCTCTTTGTGCTGGAGGCTCTGGAGCAGCTGGGCCCTCCTGGCCGGCAGCTCTGCCTGTCTCTGAGCTCTTTCTAAGGCAGATGTCACTGTATCATGACCGTGATGTTGGTCCATACACAGGGAGCAGAGCAGCTGCTGGTCTCTGCGACAGAATAGATCCATCACTTTGTTGTGTTGAGAGCAGATGTTTTCATGGAGAGTGTGAGACGGCTCCACCAGTTGATGTTTCTTAAAAGCTGCAGCTTCATAATGAGGCTTTAGGTGGCGCTCACAGTAAGAGGCCACACACTGCAGACAGGACTGGACAGCTCTCAGCTTCCTCCCAGTGCACACATCACAGGACACCTCCTGAGGCTCAGCATAGCAGCGGTCAGCAGGGGTCGCTGTCTTCTTCATCTGCTCTACTAAACTTGCTAACAGGATGTTTTTACCAAGGAGAGGTCTGGGGTTGAAGCTCTGGCGACATTCAGGACAGCTGTAGAGCTGCTTGTCGTCCTCTTGGTCCCAGTGCTGTTGGACACAATTCCTGCAGTAGCTGTGTCCACAGGGGATAGTCACAGGATCCTTCAGTAGATCCAAACACACGGAGCAGGAAAAGGCTTCTTGGTCCAGTGCTGTCCGCGCCATCTCTCCTGGATCACAAACACTTTCACTTTGACACAAGCGAAACATTGAGAGCTCTGGGAGGGGCCAAACCCAGGCAGTAGATCTGAGGAGGAAGTGGCAGCTCTTAAAGCTACACACACGTTTTATTAGAACTTTAAACTTATCAACAAACACCACCTTCATCAGGACTCTTTCTATATGGAAATGTGCCTTTATTGGTTTAGCTGAATCCATAACAATTTAATGTACAATTTGGGTTAAGTTACATTAATGCCTTACCTTGTCTTTGCCCACCTTAGTATTATTCTTAATGTAATGCCTCCCTCTTGTGGTTGTTTTGGATAGTTCTTTTGTAGCAGACCTATTCTGCAAAATCCTCTTTTCAGAGTGTTTAACCATGTTATAGTTGTTTTATTCTCATTTACCTTCTGAAATGCATGTTTGAGCAATGATTAATTGTTTATTTTCAAGGCACCATTTTGCCGATCAACCCTTGTGTTCACTGCCACCGGTACAGACCCACTGCTGTATTTACGTAAAATTTTCTTAATCAGTGATACACAGCAACATTGTGAAGTCATTTTAATACAATTGAAAAAATATGCTTGTTAGTGTGATGTACAGCTATCCATAGGAGGGACTGACATCTATACGTCACTTTGTTGTTGTGTTTGATGTTTACAGTAATGTCTGCTCCCACTAGACATCACAGTTTTCTAAAACAAAAGTCAACGGACTTTTATTTTGATTAAGTGGTTTTAGATCAATAAAGAACTATAGAACAATACTGAACTATAGAACAACTATAGCGCAAGCACAATAGCTCTGCTTTAAGATACTTAGTTATTTTTGTACTATTTTTATTTATTATTTTTTAAATGTCATACAAAAATCATTCTGGACCTGCCAGGCAAACAGATAGCAGCTTATAACATACCTGTCAAAACTGTGTACCCCATAAAATGACACTGGTTAAAAGGTAGAAGTTTTTCTTTGAGTTTTCATCTAAATTTAAAACAGTGTATGCTTTGAAGACATGATATGAGGTAGTTTCAAACCATAACGAAACTAATTATTTGTTAAGCGTCTTGCAGAAACTTCACATTAATTTCATTCATTCATTTCTGAGACTGGGTTTTGCTTGATCACTCCTCTCCCTGTGATTTCGCTGTAGATGTGTAGATGTTGTTATGTATGTGAGCAATAGTGAACCATTAGAGATAGAGCTTTATAGTGTAAAATGTAACCAGCAGATATTAATGGTATTTCCTCATTCACCTCACCTGTCTTTGCTTTCTGCTGGGCTGCTCTCAACTGTTTATCCCACCATCTTAACCCCCTACACCCTTTCACAACCTGTTACTAAAATTTCCAATAAACCAATAGCATCTCCATGGAGACCATCAAGTGATGCACCCTCCTCCAGAAAAGTTTCACCTAAATAATTTGACAAAGTGCATGTCCAAGTACAAGGTGCATGTATTTTGGATAGTTTTCCCACCAACATGTGTATTAGTGAGTTCAAACTTTTCATCATTTGCATGTTGAAAAATCCTTCAAACGGTCCCTACGAACTGGTCTGGCCCCTTAGAAATAAATATAATGATTATTAACATTACAATTTTGCCCTACAATTTGTCAAACTACATCTAAAATATAGGGCTCAATAAATGATCAATGCAAACGGATTTAGAGCATGGATGGTTTAGAGATCATGTAAGGTGTTGCCACAAGAGGGCGCCTTTTGCAAACAGCAGCTTTGAAATTTGAACTGTTAAACTACCAAAACACGTGTTAGAGGTGGTGCGTAAAGGTAGGTAATCTAGATGAAGTGTGGGTTGTGTGAATTAAAATTAAATGTACAGGCTGATGTGAGTGAATATTCTTAAACAAACTTGACAAATTGCATTACAAGATGAAATCAGGTCCAAGTTACACAGTCAAGTAGTACTATAAGCAGACAAGCAGCAACAAGTACAGTAGTTTGATGCTGGCTACTTTTACTTGTTTACACTGAGATTGGAAGTAAATTTAAACCAAGAAATGTTACAGATCAGGTCTGTGGAAGGGCCACCCCTGCTGACAGTAAAAAAAAATTGACCAATGAAAATATGATTGAATATAGTAATGTAGTAATTGAATAAATAAAATACATTTAATGCCATACTCTAAAATATTCACATAAACCCAGCTACAAGAAAAGTGACGTAGCACATTTTTATGAACGGTCACGGCCCCCATCAATACGAAGATCATGCGGGGGCCCCAAATAATAATTGAAACTATTTAACTGAATATGTATTTTTATGTTTTTTCCTCTTACATTTACATGTTAAACAATATAGAATTATGGCTGTAGGCATAATACTACTATAAAGCATGCTTGTCTTGTAAATGGCCTTTGGGGGGGCCCTGGGGGCCTCAGAGGCATTGCTGGGGGCCCCAAAGGTTGTTCACAAAACCCACTGTGGGAAGCACAGGTCTAATCTAAAATACAGACAAAATCTAAAAGACAGACGCAAGTTTCTATTGTTGAACGAAAGATAAGACAGAATTTTGTTTTTTATTTTTTATTTTTTTATGACATGTGTGTATATATATATGTTATATACATAAATATATATACAGTTAGTTTAGTTACAGTTTAGTTTAGGTAAAATCCACCGCCTTCTGGTTCATCACCAAAACAAAAAAAGTGAAATCCGGCCCTGGAGCTTTTCTTCTTTTTTCGTCGTTTGTTGCCTGCTCCTGGTGGTCTTGTGATGACCTCGTCCGGTTCGTCTGGTATTTCACCATAGAACCGATCACTTTGTTTGGTGTTTTCAGGGTCAGTTTTTTGTGCTTCCTCTTGGACCACCCTGGGACCGGTGTTGTGAGACTCCTGATGGATCAGGAGAGCTTGCAATCTTAAAGTTTGTTTGCTGCTCCTGCCACAATTTTGAGTTTCTACAGTCTCTACAGTGAAACTTGAACAGCCTCCATCTTTGTTGGGCTTTGGGGCTGGTTTCACTTCACCAGGTTTCGCTGGAGTATTGCGGTCACCTGCCGTTCTTGGAAGGCGTCTCGGTAGTCTCTGTTCTTTGGGTGGGCTCTGAAGATACACTTGAGTTTCTGGTGGAGGTTTCCACCAGTTTTGACTGTCATATGTAACTTCAGTAGCCTGTCTGGAGGGACTGTCTTGCTGTGATTTTGCAGTTGTCTTAAAGCAGGGATTTTCTGTTGGTATAGGAGCAAGCACAAACTCGGGCTTTGCTTTCTCTTGTGAAGCTTGTGTTGCTTCAGTTTGTGCTTTGTGGTGTTTTGGACCCTCCCTATCAGGTCGGGGTCCATTGCCTCTCCTTCCACCGCTCTTTCCCCAGTTGTTAGCAGCTTGAGAGCTCTCCCTGTTGATTTCATTACCAGTGGCTCTGCCATGATTGGGTGTTGTCTCTGCCCTCTGTCTCCTTTCTCCTCTTGGTACATACTTTTGACTTGCTTCAAACATCTCTGATCCATTGCCCTGATGCCAGATTTTCTTGGGCCTTTGGTTGGTTGAAGCTCCCCTGGGAGCTTGAGATGCCTTGGTTTTAGTTGTCTGAAGGTCGTCCACCATTGTTTCACAACAATGGCCTGAAGCAGCTTCAGCAAGTGGTTTGTGTGTCTGGTTCTCACTAATCGCCATACGACTAGGTGTTTTGTTGTTCTTTCTTCCCATAATGTTATTAGTATCAATAATCTTAATAATAACTAACAAGTATGTTTGCAGTTGGAGACTTCTACTTCTCTGTGTCTGTCTACAAGTGTGTCAACGACCGACTGTTTCTGACTCACCCATATAAACTCTGGTCAACATTATGGCTTTGAATCAAAGCGGTTCTGGCCTTTAGGCCTTTGTGCCTTTATTTTGTTTTCATTTAAAAAAATAATAATTCTGTCGCCATGGTGACAAGCAAGTGACTCCACCAGACCAAGTTGCATGCCAGATTGTAGAGATGCGAGCCACTCACAATACTGACATCTGTTTCACTTTAGATATAGCTGTATTATTTATCCTATAGTTCAAGCTTCACTGTGTAACTTTTCCAGTAGTGGGTCTGACATTAGCTTCAGTCACATTATTGTTTTTCCTGGAAGAATGCACCTGGTTCTTTTCCCAAGAAACAGTGCGGGTCTAGACCCAATCCTGAAAACCTGAAACAGAATTCCGACAGTTGGTTTAACTCCAAATTTGTTTTCGATGTGGTAACAACATTATAACATGGCTTAAAGCTCACAAGAATCCATTTTGTGTGATATAGGACTGTTATCCTATCACTCTCCATTTAGACAAGCAGGTGATAAGTAAAGTAAATGCACCTACACTCTTGTCCAGACTCAGAACTGTTCAAATGCAGTTTCATGCAGCAGTTTATGCCTGTATCCTGTTTATTTGTGTTTCAGAGGAGTTCAAGAGGGAGGGAGATACAGTTAAGTTGAAACTGGTCTGATTGAGTTGTGACACGGGTGGACTTAAAGTGTTTAAAGAGGAGACAGATGGAGAATTGGACAGTTTAGGACACTGTTAGGACACAGATCGCGTCCTCGGGTTGCCTTTTTACGCGAGACACACAGGATTAACGAACACGCACCAAATGTGTCACACCACGCTCTTTTAAATGGGCATTCACTTAAAGTTAACAGAATTGGCCATCTCAAACACAAAATATATGAAGTGACCTAAGAACACTACAGTCAAAATAAATCTTCTTAGTGCACCTTTAATATTGAGAGACAATCTAACTTTTATGGTGGACTTGGACAAATTTTATTGATCCACAAGGGGAATGACGTGGACACAGTAGCTCACACATCACATTATATTACTATAACAAAGAGTAAAAAATATAAAAATGGTAATAAAAACTTAAAATAAAATTAGCAAGAGTCAAATAAGACATAATAAGTTATTTACAAGACATCGTTAGGAAAAATATTGCTATTACTTTGCCGGGAATGTTCCACAGTATTGCTTTAAATGTTTTGATAACTGTAAGGAGTATATCTATGTAAAAGATCCCACTGTAACTTTAGTGCAAACCAAGGGCAATGTGATTTTGTGATCTGTTAACACTTATTACTCTGATGTGATATTAATCAATATATCATATTTTATAATGACATAACCAAGCAGGTTACCTTAACATTGATCTATGTAATCAATAACATCTCTATCATGATGTTTCCACTTCAATGTACTGTACACAATATGTGCTTAAAATAATAACTTTTCATTATAAAACATAATTGTGAAGTGTGAATTTTAAAACTTCCTTGTATGGTGGGTCCGTGTATCATTTGTTCTTTTGAGTTTCAATTAAGAATGAAAATCAATAAAATGGGAAAACAGGTTATTATTTCATTATTCCGTTTTAGTGTCAAACTAAAACAAAACAAAACAGATTTCGATCTCTATTTCCAATATTTAATTTAAAGTTTATTTCAAATAACACTAATTAAAAACAGTCTTGGGGCCTATTTTAATTTTGATATTTTATTCTCTCTGGTTTATTTGCCCCAAAAGTTCTGCTGCAGTGTCAACCGTGGATCTATAAAAAAAATAAATAAATAAATAAATGATTATAGTTCTATGGTTTCAAGTGGGACAGAGTTTATCACCTCTCTGCTTCCTGTTTCTCGTCATGGAGTTCAACAGTTACTTTCTTGAACGAGAAAGTAAATGCGTCACTATAAAAGAAGAGGACATGTTTGTTCACAGAAATGCAACAATTTTTCAGTTAAAGGGACAGTTCGGAATTTTGGACATTGGGCTTCATTTCCTTGTGAACCAGAGTGTTGGAAACATGTGGAGACACTTTTTGAAATATTCCATCCAGTCCTTGTATTTGCAGAGGTCGCTGGTGCTAGACTAGTGCATGTCAATGGTCATAGTTATCCTGCCACTAAAAACAGTCTTACCCACTCCACAAAACACCCCAAGAAAATGTATTATTACACCAGACTGTCCATGTGAATGTCTGTGTTGACAGAATAATTTTAGAAGTAAAACTAACCTTGTATCACATGAATCGTCGCATGTTGAGGGAGTATTTTCTCAGCACCAGCGGAATTTTACTCTGCTCTAGTTAGTGATGATATGAATGTGGCCATATCTGGAACAGGCTTCTTCATGTGCTCTATGTGTCGCTTAGGCAACTGCAGGTAAACAAACTATTACAAAGCCGGTAAGGTGATATCAGTCCGCCAGGAAGTACAAATCACTGCTGCTGCTCAGACATAAATCCTTCAAATGCAAGGTTGGTTTTACTTCTAAAATGATTCTGTCGACACAGACATTCACATCAACAGTCTGGTGTAATAATAGATTTTCTTGGGGTGTTTTATGGAGTGGGTAAGACTGTTTTTAGTGGCATGCTAACTATGGCCATTGACATGCACTAGCCTAGCACCAGCGACCTCTGCAAATAAAAGGACTGGATGGAATATTTTAAAAAGTTTCTCCACACATTTCCAACACTCTGGCTCATTAGGAAATGAGGTTCTGTGTACAAAATTCCGAACTGTCCCTTTAAGTCCTTCTAACAACAGAACTTCATATAAATCTGAGAAATTAAAATATCCCAATTAAAATAGGCACTGAGACTGTTTTTGAGTGGTGTCAGCCGAAATAAACTTCAAATTAAATAATGGAAAAAGAGGTTGAAATCTTTTTTTTGTTTTTGTTTGTTTGTTTGTTTGTGGGACACTAAAGCAGAATAATGAAATAACAACCTGTTTTCCTATTTTATTGTTTTTTCTTTCTTAATTGAAATTCAAAAGAACGAATGGCACACGGACCATGGAGCTTTACTGTTTAAAGTCAATTGAATTTCAGCCTTGTGTTTATATGTAGTTACCAATGCTGTGTTTAAGATGACATCACAACATTTAATGGGCCAATAAAATTTAATAAAGATGGGGACAGCTAAAATGAATATTGTTGAAATGCAGATTTGTGTATTTGTATTTGTAATGTTCTTGGGTCTAATCTCTAATAGAAATGCTCAGGTTCAATGTTTGTGAATTTACCTTAGAGATATTTCATGACAAATACAAACAACATGGAAACCAGGCTTTAGAATGTGATGATGTAATACTGTCAAACGTGGACATGAGCTTATTAAATATTATTGACTTGATGGAATGTTGTGATGTCATCTGAAACCCAACAATCTGTGCAACCTGTGTTTTGTTCATTCTTTCCAGGAAGCATGATGTCACACTGTAAGGGCATCTGTAGTAGTCATGTGACCTTTTGTATACATGGAGCAGTGATCAGCGCTAAGAAGGGTGAAGTTTAGAGGGCCCTCATCAAGCTGTGCATCCATACCATGAACACAGATAATCCTCCGGGAGCAGGGGTCAGAGGCAAGCCCAGCGAGGAGACCCGAGACCAGGCAGAGACGAGAGGAGGAGCTGGGGGCAGACTCGAACATCCACAGAAGCACTGAAGGGAGGGACCAGATGGAGGATTAAGAGCCAGATCTGGTGAGTTTTCTCTGCTCAAAATTCAACCAAGACCTGCAACGGAGGAGGCGAAGAGAAGAGGAGAGGAGATGAAAACAGGAGGAGGAGGAGAGGAGATGGGGACGAGGGACAGATGTGAGTGAGGCTGGAGGTGTAGAGTCCTGGGGTCCCGAAAGCAAGGGGTGAGTCCAAATTCTGTGTCTAACCAAGATTTTAGTTGATCACAGTGATATTGATCAGTACTTTTTATTTGTTATTCAATATAATATGAGCGTATATTCATGTGTATTTAGATATCTGGTGATACTTTTGGTCTATTGACACTTGTTTGGTTCTGGTTTGAATCCAGTTTAATCCTGATTTAACGATGCATTCACACTTGCATGCACACAACATCAACATTTTGGCCAAACTGGGACAAAACCTGTTCCTACACCAGTACTAAACCATGACTAGAAAAAGACCAAACTGGGTCTACATTTCTGGGCTAAAATGGACTACAAAATCAAGACCAAAACAAGTGTGGTACACCTCTGGTCCTGCTCTGGTTTAGTTCTGGTCTACTCCAGGTTTTATTCCAAGATTAAGTCCAGGTTTAGTCCCGATTTTGATGTGGTATGCAGGTGTAAACATTCTTACTGCTACAGATATTAGTACAGTTTTCACAAGAACTTCTATCGTCCTCACTCTATGTTTAGTTTTATACAACTCTAAAGGATTTTTCATGTTGCATGCCATGTGCTTGTGTTCTGCTGTAGTGTGAGACCTGTGTTTCTGGATTATACCTACTCTAGTATTAGTCACACTCAGAGAATGGATTTGATAGAGTTAAACCTGACCCTCTGACATAGTCACAGATTAACACTGAAAGCACCCAAGTATAGCAGATTTTGTGTTATTACTACTTCTACTGTTGCTACAAGTTGTACCATGACTTCAATAACTTTAAATACGAAGATTGCTGTAGTGTATGCATTTTACAACCTTTACTTAAATTAATTAAGTCTGTGGTCCATACTGTTAGTACATTTTATTGCACTGATTTTGTAGGATTTAGGCTAATCAAGACAGAGCTCATTGTTTACCCAGTTTTTTTTTTTTAATAAACAAGACCTAGATTTTTTCTCCTAATCCAGATGTTGTCTGACTTTCTCTTCTAGGTGCCTCTACAGACAGCCTAATAATCTTGTCCACCTAAACCTCCAGATTAACACAGATTAAGAAACCACAGGCAATCAGCGTGTTCTCCAAAACTCCTCACTGCTGCAGAGGTGGAACAAGGAACAAGTTCAAGATCACCTAATATCTGTGTATCCTATGTCTCAAGGAAGACAAGATCTATGGACACCTGAACACTGTGAAGATCAAAAAAATGGATTTCAATTTTGGGTCTGCGCGCGTCAATAAATCCCAGTTCATTTTAAATTTTTGCCCATTTTTTTTTTTCTC